AAAATGAGAGAAGTCGGTAGGTTAATTAACGAAGCAAAAACCGCAGGGAAACTGAAAACAATTAAGGATTTCTTTATTCCTTCCAACTTTAACCATGTGATTGATGCAGTCAGGTCTGTGGCTGGATATGATGAGGAAACAAATCAATACAAGACTCCATCCTTGGCCCTCAAACTCGGCCATAGCCTCAGAAAGCTAGCAGATATTCTTGAATGTGACTCAAAAATGGAGCATTGTGTTGATGAACTATTTATTAAAAACCTCCAACGAAGCCGGCTGCTCTTTGAGAAGAGGTGGGACGTCTGTGTTTCTTCTGCTGCCCTACAGACCCTCCGGCAAGCCAAGTGGAACACTCCGGACCTGCTCCCTCTGACTGAGGACGTTAGAGCCATGCATGCACATATTGAGGTATGTCGACCTGAATATGTGCAAACCCTAATAAGTGAGCCAACGTCTAAGCATTGGTCTAAACTGGCAGTTTTGACTCTTTGTGAGGTCATTATTTTCAATCGAAGAAGGGAAGGTGAGGTTTCAAAGATGCCACTGACAGCCTTTACCTTAAGAAGTAAGACTGGGATCCATTCTGACATTGCTCTGGGACTGTCCCAACTTGAGAAAAAGCTGTGTCAGCATTTTCAAACGCATTGAAATTAAAGGGAAAAGAAGTCGGAAAGTGCCGGTTCTTTTGACTCCTGAAATGATTGCTTCGATGGAGGTGCTGGTGGAGAACAGAAGGGCCTGTTCCATCTCTGACCATAACCCATACTTCTTTTCCCGCCCGGGCGCAGACACCCACATCAGGGGATCAGACTCCCTACGCCAGGTAGCCAAAGAATGTGGTGCGGTGCATCCAGAGATGCTATCCTCAACCAAACTTAGAAAGCACATAGCTACTATGTCTACAGTTCTCAATATGAAAGAGAATGAGATGGACATACTTGCCAACTTCCTCGGCCATGACATTCGCATCCACAGGCAATATTACAGACTACCAGAGGGGACACTGGAGCTGGCCAAAATCAGCAAAGTGTTGATGGCCATGGAGCAGGGAAGAGTGACGGAATTCGAAGGAAAGAGCCTCGACCAGATACAAATTGAGCCTGAAGGTAATTCTTGATATTATTAAAATATGTATGATTTTTTTCCCCTAAAGGCCACTTGTATTTTTATTTTCTGTGCGACAGGGAGAGCAGTAGAGATCCTCTCACAAACGGACGGGCTAAAAGAAACTTCAAGCGGAGAACCTTCAACCATTCATCCAGATGCACCCCATGGTAGTGGCAGTGCCCCTTCTGGTAAGTGTACCAGGTGGGGGATTACAGCCAGGCTGCTTGGTCCTAACCCTGGGAGTGTATATTGCTAATATATTTTTATTTCTCTCCCTAGAACGTGTAAGAAAGCCATGGTCTGCATCTGAGGTGAAGGCTGTGGAGAAGACCATGACACCTTTCATACAGACTGGAAAGGTCCCTGGGAAGTCTCACTGCCTGGCCTGCATTAATGCCTCACCAGATGACCTTAGACATCGGACATGGAGTGGCGTTAAATTCTATGTCAAAAATAGAATCACTGCAATTCGAAAAAAAAATCTAAAATAAAATTCCTTTAAAATAGTTGTTTGGTTTCTATTGACTGTTTTGTATTACTTAAAGTAGTCCCAGTAAAAAAAGATTATGTCTATGGGTCCCATTCTGAACGGCCCTGTCAAAGGGACCCACCAGGTAACAAAAACGTGTATGTGTGTGTCTGTGTGTGTGTGTATCTTCACTCCTCTCAGACTCAGAGGCCGAGGGCACAGCAGGAAACACACACAACACTTTGAATGTTCAGGTTTTTTAATTTCCCAAAAAAAAATCAACAATAAAAATAAATGAGGAACTGGACCAAACTGACCTGAACTGGACCAAACTGACCTGAACTGGACCAAACTGACCTGAACTGGACCAAACTGACCTGACAATGGGAACATTTAAGAACTACCACAACACAAATACATACACTCATGTAAATTAGTATAATGAGCAGACCTATGAAGCTAAGCAGGGCAGGGCCTGGTTAATGGTGTGATGGGAGACCTCTGGGAACAGCAGGTGCCACAGTGGTTGTGGCCAAACTGTGGTTGTGTCCTTAGGCAAGACACTTCCCCCACATTAGAATGAGTCTGGTGTTTGTGTGAATGGTTGGTGGTGGGAGGGGCTTCTGTCAATGTGCCCCAGGGCAGCTGTGGCTACAGTAGTTTATCACCACCGTGTTTGGAGAGAGAGAATAATAATGTGAAGTGTGTTTGAGAGTGAAAAAAACACTGTATAAAACAAATTCTTTATTATTATTATTACTATTATTACTTCCTCTACTGTTTGATTCAAAAAAGTAGAAAGGTGGCCGTGTCTCGTAGCATACATTAGCGTAACCTGCGCTCTGCACCCAGCCCCGGTGATCCAAGATGGCGCCCTGTTCAAATGAATGGCTTGTGCTCAGGGGTTCATGGGACTTGACGGAGCCCGGGAGATTAGCAGAACTCAGCTGTATTTGGGCATCGTCTGGTCCTCCCGGTTCTGTGCACTGGATTATCTCCCATGATGCTTTGCGCCAAATACGCATGTGTGGCTCTCATGCACGTGCACAGAGGGGCTCGGCCGCGTTCTGACCAATCAGAGAACAGCGCTCTGACCAATCAGAGCTGCTAATCAGAGCGGGAAGAAAACGAGCAGAGTTTGTGGCAGTAAAGTGTGGATTTAAAGAAAACCGAAGGATTTAAGGAGAAAAAAAGTTCAGGACGACAAGGGACACTAACATCCCCACAAAATCTGACCTTTATGAAAGCTGTAGGTTCTCTGTCAGGTTCTCTGTCAGGTTTTCTGTCAGGTTCTCTGTCTGGTTCTCTGTCAAGTTCTCTGTAGGTTCTCTGTAGGTTCTCTGTAGGTTCTCTGTCAGGTTCTCTGTCTGGTTCTCTGTCAGGTTCTCTGCCAGGTTCTCTGTCAGGTTCTCTGTCAGGTTCTCTGTAGGTTCTCTGTCAGGTTAAGTAAGTAAGTAAGTAAGCTTTATTTATATACCGCCTTTCACAGACCAGAGTCACAAAGCGGTTTACAATTGTTATTTTTGGGCACTTGTCTCTCACTCCACACAGAGATGGGAGCGGGGTCGCCGAACACGAGGCGCATGCCAGACCTATTGTACATATTTTTAGTGGTAGGGGAAACCGGAGTACCCGGAGGAAACCTACGCAGACACGGGGAGAACATGCAAACTCCACTCAGAAAGGCCCTGGTCCGGCCGGGATTCGAACCCAGGACCTTCTTGCTGAGAGGCGGGAGTGCTATCCACTCAGCCACCGTGCCGCCCACAGGTTCTCTGTCAGGTTCTCTGTAGGTTCTCTGTCAGGTTCTCTGTCAGCCGAGGTCGAGCTGTTTTAGTTTACATTGAGTTCTATGGGACTTTTTTCTGTGTAGCCCTCGTGAATAAGGTCTGCAGTACCACAGCGCCCCATGTGGCCATGGGTGGGACAGCTGTAGGCTAGTAATACCCTATCCAGATATTATTATAGATCCATGGCTCGCACACATTAGCTTCACCTGCACTCACACACATTAGCTTCACCTGTAGTAGTAGTAGTAGTAGTAGTTTATTTGTTCAGTCACTTTTTCACAACTCAGACAATACAGATCATTTGAAAAAAAAATAAAGTAAAAGGTAAAGTTGACTGAAAGGGTTTAGGCTGAAGTGAAACACTTATAGAAGCCTAACCCTACTATAGCTTACTATAACCAGAACAACTAAAACAGCAACAATTAGCTTTCAGCATGGAAAAACAATAGAAAATACATATCTATATTTTTGCAGAAAAGACATGTAGGTAAATGAGGATTCATACAAATTGTTTTGATGATATAAACAATATTATAATGGTAATAATAATAATAATAATAATGTTGATAATTGCTTTAATATTATTTATTTATTCTAATTCTCTATATTTATTTATAACATGAATTTTAAGGACATTTTTGAAAATCTTGATGGATGTAGTTTTCTTTAGTGACTCATCCAGACCATTCCAGACAGCAACTCCTCTAACTGAGACACATCTACACTTTGCTTTGGTCCTGGCAGTGACCCTTTGGTAAATGTCAGTTCCTCTAAGATTATAATTTGATTCTCTGATGTTGAACCTTTCCTGGATGCATTTAGGGACATTCTGATTGTGAACATTGTACATGACAACTGCTGTATTTAGGTCAACTATATCATGTAATTTTAGGGTATTTGATTTTATAAATAATGGATTTGATGATGAATAATAGTCTGCACAATTGATTATTCTGATTGCTTTCTTTTGCATTAAGAAGAGAGGCTGAATTGAGGTTTTATAATTATTCCCCCACACAACCACACAATAATGCAAGTATGGCAGTATTAGTGAAGTGTATAATAGGTGTAAAGATTTTTTGTTAACGATTTTTTTAATTTTGCACAATATTCCAATCATTTTAGATATCTTTGTCTTCAAGTATTCTATATGTATTTTCCAGTTAAGTTTTGCATCAATGTTAACTCCCAAGAATTTTGTGTTGTACACCCTCTCTATTTCAATTTGATCTATATTTAATTTGGTCGGAAAGCCAATTTTTTATTACCAAAAATAATATATTTAGTTTTGCTCACGTTCATTGATAATTTATTGTAATCAAACCATTTCTTTAATATTAATAGTTCATTTCCAGTTTTTTCCATAAGCTGCTCAAGATTTTGTCCTGAACAGTAGAGACTGGTGTCGTCTGCAAACAGAATACAGTGCATAGTTTTAAGGACCTCACAGATGTCGTTGATGTACAATATAAACAATTTAGGCCCAAGGACTGAGCCCTGTGGGACTCCGTGTGTGGTTAGGTTTTTATCTGAATTAACATTATTACCTGCATAACCTGCACTCGCACACATTAGCTTCACCTGCACTCACACACATTAGCTTCACCTGCACTCACACACATTAGCTTCTGTGCTCAGTGAACTGCCTGTCGCGGTGCAGTTTTCCGGCTCGGTGGGTGCCACAGCAGCTGCGGCGACGGTGAAATGGAGCGTGAAGGCCTGACCCTCTGAACGCCGGTGATTGATGGACGCTCAGACGGATAGATGACAGCGACTGGCAAAAGGTCTGCGCGCGCCGCCATCTTGGATCTCGTCAGGCTGAGTGTGGCTGCGGGCCGCGGTGATGGATGGCCCGTGTCACCGCGATGCGCCACTTCCAGGTACTGACACCAGGGAATTCTGGGAGAACGTGTGAGCCTGATGTGACCTGCTGGTACATCTCTCTGTGACACATTCAGCTTCATTTAAAGCTGGGGAACCTAATTTATATAGTTTGTCCAAGAGAAAGAGTCCACACTAAAAGAAGTGAAGAAAGAAGTAAAAGAAATGCTCCAATTCTGGACAAATATACCGTGATTGCAGCACATTCTGGTGGCGCTAAAAAATGGAGACAATATGAAGCGAATAAAAACTTTTTGTCTGTTCTAGATGTAATAATTCCTCGTTCGTGTTGTTGTATTGTGTTACATTATGGGTTGTGTACCACGTTATATAACAGTGATCGCTCGGTGTAGCTATTCAGCGATTCTGGTCCCAGCTGGATTTGGCTGCTTATCTGGCAACCTGAGTGGCAGAGGACTTCAGAACTTTGACCGTGATTACAGCACGTCTTTTGGCCAGATTTTTACATATAGCTCCTTTAAATAAGAATTAATATTTGTCTTTAGATTGTACTTCTTGCTTGGATTGAACCAAAACTGGACTATGAATGTTTTTGATTCATTACGATGAGGTATAACAGGCCATCGTAGCATGAAGTCGGAAGCCTTCGTTGATTCCCATTCATTTAAATAGGGGGAGACAGTTTGAAGTTTTGTGATGGGAAAAAGTCCGAGCGGCACACAGAAACAAGAAGAAGAAGATGGAGAGAAATGTCAGTGTTGCATCACACAGTTACAGAGCAGTAGAATGAGGAGCACACAGAACAAGATGAACCAACAATTACTCTAATGAACTAACTTTTTTATGAAGAATAAGCAAGTATAAAGTCTCTATCTACTATAAAAATGTAAAGTACTGTATATTTTACTGCAAGAAATATCTACACTGCAAAAAGTGATGAAAAATAAGTCAAAAATTGCTCAAGTTTGGCTAAAGTGCAAAGGGACTGGCCTCCTGCTGGGACTCTGAGGAGCACAGGGACTGGCCTCCTGCTGGGACTCTGAGGAGCACAGGGACTGGACTCCTGCTGGGACTCTGAGGAGCACAGGGACTGGCCTCCTGCTGGGACTCTGAGGAGCACAGGGACTGGACTCCTGCTGGGACTCTGAGGAGCACAGGGACTGGACTCCTGCTGGGACTCTGAGGAGCACAGGGACTGGACTCCTGTTAGTGCCCAGAGTCAGAACTAAACATGGGGAGGCTGCTTTTCAGATTCATGCTGCTAAAATCTGGAACAGTCTTCCTGAAGATGTGAGACAGGCCTCCTCTCTGACAATGTTTAAAACCAGGTTAAAGACAGTTCTGTTTAACTGTGCTACAACTGAGGGATCTTTTATCGTTCTTTTTAATGTTCTGTGATTATTCATGATTTTAATACTATCAGACAGAATTCTCTCCTTTTAAAAATACACAGAAATGAGAAAATAAAGCCACTGGTCTTAAAACCAGACTAAATGTTTGTGTGTCTTTAGTGAGTCCAGTTTAACCACAGTTGGACAGTCTTGTATCGTCTGTTTTCACTTCAAACAGCATCTTTCCAAACGAAGGTGAGGCCTTTGATGTGGACGTTGTGATGTCACACGATGGATTCATGAATGATTTTGTGTCTGCGCCTCGAGCCTCGGACGTCACCTGTCGAGGGAAAGGCTTTTAACGTCTGCCTTTGGTTCATTTGAAGAGATTTTCAGCCGTTTGCGAGTCGTGCTGTGATTACTTTTTGCTGATGGACGTGGAGCCGTGTGTCCGCTCAAGTTATGTTTAAAGGCACACCGTGTAACTCTTGGCCACTAGGGGCGCTAGACCTGCAACTTTCACGTTTAGCGCCCCTAGTGGCCACAAGCAACTCAGCACTGTCGCAAAAGTCAACAAACAGTCAGCCGGTGTCTTTTGAGTGTGTATTCAGACAGCATGCACTGGTGTGTGTGTTCAAACTGTAGAGACATGCCTACAGATATTGAGAGACTCTGCTGTGGTCAGCCTCCAGACCGCTGCATTAGTAATCTACCACACATGGACTTCTATATCCTGGATGAGGGAGTTCTGCGTCTAGCTCGTGCTGCGTGGAATGACATCTTTGCAGTCGATGACATCCAGGAACCAGGTGAAGAGCAGCGCTCATACAGACATGCAGCTTACAGCACGATCCCTTTCGCGTTTCCTCTTTTTAGCCTCCTCCGAAGGTTTAAAATTTTTCCTTGCCTCAGCCATGACCAGGAGTCGAGCAGGTGAAAAATGAGTAGCAAAAGCCTTAGCTCCATGGCTGTGTCCAAAACGGTAGGCATTGGGCCGCGTAGGGTGGATATGTAGGCATCGAGGGAAGGCCGCGTAGCCACAGGCGAGGTAGGAGGCGAGACGTGAGGTGGATTTGGACAGCAGCTGCCTTCTGCCTTCGTCACGTGACTACACAACTCAGAGCGGAGCGGAAGGACACGGCGGCCATGATGGACGGTAAAAAGTTCTAAATACGCTTTAATTAGGACATAAAAGTTAATTCTAATATCATTTGAGGCGAGAAATATCCCCCTCTATTGTCATATCAGAAGTCTGTTTGGAGATAAATTCGAAAATTTTCGGACTTTACCTCCAGCCTGAAGCTCCGGTGCTATAAGCTAACAGCCCAGTTAGCTGCAGTGCTGAAGCCCAGAACAGGCTGTCTAAACACGGGTTCAGGTAATGAGAGCCCCCTGGATGTTTACAATCGTATTCTGAAAAAACAGAGGATGCTTTTGTTGTTACACTTTCTCTGTTATAACAATTGTATTGGCAGTAATCATTAGTTTTTACAAAGTTATATTTTATGTAAACAATGCACATATATGCAATAAATGATTATTAGATATGGATTATATATTTGCTATGGCCCTCGTTTGTGCATCACTTAAAAGTAATTTTATCAGACCTAAATGTATTAACGTGTGTTTGCTGATGAGAGAGAAACATCCATTTATCTATAATAATAACTGACACATCCATGGATCTATAATAATAACTGACACATCCATGGATCTATAATAATAACTGACACATCCATGGATCTATAATAATAAATAACTGACACATCCATGGATCTATAATAATAACTGACACATCCATGGATCTATAATAATAACTGACACATCCATGGAAACATTAACAGACATCTGTAAAATGAAGTTGAACACAGATGTTTGACACTGCTCTTATTCACTTTTATGTCTCTTGAAAAGCAAACAGACCGTTACTAATAACATTTGAGTTTAATGTATTCAATTATAAGTATAAGTATAAGTACTGCTGACAAATATGTAGTTGTGTAAATAATACCTCACTTTGATGACTCTTTACATTTCACACAAACAACAAAATCATAATAAAACCAACAAGTTTGGTTTTAGTTTTCTTTATTTCCAGGTTCTCTGAAGTGCTGTCGATGAGACCTGTGTCAGAGGCAGACGCCCAGGACTCTGCTGCTGCTCCTGCTGCTGCTGCTGCTCCTGCTGCTGTTGCTCCTGCTGCTGCTGCTCCTGCTGCTGCTGTTGCTCCTGCTGCTGCTGCTGCTCCTGCTGCTGTTGCTCCTGCTGCTGCTGCTCCTGCTGCTGCTGTTGCTCCTGCTGCTGCTGCTGCTGTTGCTCCTGCTGCTGCTGTTGCTCCTGCTGCTGCTGTTGCTCCTGCTGCTGCTGCTGCTCCTGCTGCTGCTGTTACTCCTGTTGCTCCTTCTGCTGCTGTTACTCCTGTTGCTCCTTCTGCTGCAGCTGTTACTCCTCCTGTTGCTCCTTCTGCTGCTGTTACTCCTGTTGCTCCTTCTGCTGCAGCTGTTACTCCTCCTGTTGCTCCTTCTGCTGCTGCTGTTACTCCTCCTGTTGCTCCTTCTGCTGCAGCTGTTACTCCTCCTGTTGCTCCTTCTGCTGCTGCTGTTACTCCTCCTGTTGCTCCTTCTGCTGCTGCTGTTACTCCTCCTGTTGCTCCTTCTGCTGCTGCTGTTACTCCTCCTGTTGCTCCTTCTGCTGCTGCTGTTACTCCTCCTGTTGCTCCTTCTGCTGCAGCTGTTACTCCTCCTGTTGCTCCCTCTGCTGCTGCTGTTACTCCTCCTGTTGCTCCTTCTGCTGCAGCTGTTACTCCTCCTGTTGCTCCTTCTGCTGCTGCTGTTACTCCTCCTGTTGCTCCTTCTGCTGCTGCTGTTACTGCTCCTGTTGCTCCCTCTGCTGCTGCTGTTACTCCTCCTGTTGCTCCTTCTGCTGCTGCTGTTACTCCTCCTGTTGCTCCTTCTGCTGCTGCTCCTTCTGCTACATGTCTTCAGAGATGCAGAGCCCACTGTTCTAACTATTCATGATTGCTGATTAAAGGAAAATATTATATACAAGTTTGTTGTAGTTCATAATGTGGTGATGAGGTGATGGAGGTGAAGCAGGAGGTGATGGAGGTGAAGCAGGAGGTGATGGAGGTGAAGCTGGAGAAATTATGACCTTAATTTCACCACAAGTCTCTGAAAAAGAAGAACACAAACATCATGCATTAAAACACAGCCCACATTTAGGATTCTTTTTACACTTCATATTCAATTAATACTATTTATTTGGGGCTTTGCAAAAAACTGGTTAAAAATAAAATACAGAAATCCTTACAGTATTTAATATTAGAGATACAAGCTTCACAGCAGGGGAAACAGAAGAATGATATGATAGAAATATACACACATAATCAAGTTATGAGCATGGCTAACCACTTTAAACCTGTGTTTGTGGAAGTGGGACCTTGTCCTCTGCAAATGTCTTATTAATGACAAACGAAACCTCTGTATAATGTGTGTTTACTATTTATTAGACTATTGTATGAAAAGGGCTTTATAATTATTCTTGGCCTATTCTATCATTTCATATGTCTAATATATACAGTTTTCCCAGTCTCAGTATGGGATTAAAAACGATATGCACAATCTATTTTATGTGTTAGCATACTATAGCTGCTGTGCTGCAGAGTGATTTTCCATGAAAACGTGACTATTTCCTCAGTGTAGCTTTAATAATTAATCAGTGGGTTTGTTTCTCCCTAAAAGATAAAACACAACATGATTTTTCTTGTTCAAAAACCGAATCTGAATGAACTAGCCTCGTAGCATTAGCTTTTCGGGACTGAGCTTATTTACAGCAGATAACAAGGTTAAATACACACATCTGTGGCAGATCTAACTTATGTCTGTGTTTTATCATAACAGTCGTGTTCATAACTCAACAGTAAAGTATAGCAGTACTTACTATAGACATAACTTCACAGTAAAGTATAGCAGTGCTTACCAT